AGGTGCAAATCAGATCGTCCTTAGTATATGCAAAACCATATTCTTTTCGTGTGATTCTATTACTAAAGATCTTATCAGTTCGTTTAAATGTGAAACACTCAATATATGAAGGAAGACTTCCAGAACGAAATTGCCACGATGGAAAGAAGGAATTTTTAGAATAGCGAAGATTTCAAGCGAATAGAACTAATTTTCATAATTGTACGCTGGATTTCGAAAGCGTTGTAAATAACAGGCTAAAGCATTCTCTTCACCAATATCATATATCTGCTTGTGTGATTTCAGTTAACAAATTAACATTTTTCATAAGAATATTATTGTTACTGTTCAAAACTAATGTCACTTAGATGATAGAGAACAGGAACAATCAAAAAATTTATTATCTATAAAAACTTCTTTAGATTCGCTATATATATAATCAATAAGTAATGTTTTACGATAGCAGAAAAGAATCGATCACACGTTTTCTTCTTCAATAATCAATTTGTTTCTTTGTATTGTATTTCTTTAAAGTCTTTTAAACAATAAAATTTTAAAATGTTTTTAATTATGTATCTTAAATTGAAACTAGATTATGATCATTCATACGAGTTATTACCGTGATTAGGAGTTGTTTCAAGTGATTGCTCGTGGTATTATATTCTTTGCACTTAAACATTTTATTTAAATTAGTTGTACGTATTAGTGAGACTTTCGCAATACATGGAAGAGTTTAAAGAGCAAACAGAATTATGAATTTTAGAGTAAAAAAATTCCTATCCATAATCATTACTTAGCTTTAGATATCAGATTGACTTATCAAGTCGATACTCTTTTATTTATTAAAATAATTTGAACTATATAAATGTTAGAAAGTTAAACAAGCAAATCCAAATAACTGTTCTTCATGAAAAATTTGTATTGTTTTTCTTCAAACAAGTTTAATAACAACTGTTTTCACTGGACAGTATGCTTTAAGACCATATCGACCTAATTCTCTTTCCTGATCTGATTGTTTAAAGCCACCAAATAGTGCTTGATTACATAGAGCCTTATAAGTATTTATCCAAACAGGGTCAGGTCATATTTGGTGAGCTAACGTAAGACCACGTCTTACTGAAAAACTAGAATAATCATCAATAATCATTTCTTTCAAATTTACTGTCTCTAGTTATCACTCGAGCATCAAGTCCAAAAGTCGTGTCGTTTGCTCGTTTGATACCTTCTTCATACGAATCATACTCTAAGACTGACATTGCTGGACCAAATATCTAAACTTTTACATTGTTATAGAATCTAATCAAAAAAAATGTTACATCTCGTCACGTGTAATTTGCATATCATCTTTTACATCACTAAAAATAGTTTCTTTGATAAAATAATCTTTATTGTCAACTCGTTCACTACCACATATTCTAATTTATTTCCAAACTTTTAACCTGATTCTATAAAATCCAAAATCTATTGAAATTGACTATCATTTATCTATCATACACAAGTCAAGGAAACTTTTCTTTAGATTAAAGAGGTTATTACTTGTGATTCTTGTTCAGTATTAGAATCAATTTGATTATTTGAAAGTCTTATAGAATACTCATCCTCACCCTCAGATGATTAAAGGAGATTTTCCACCGATATGTGAAAAGAGAATAGCTCAGATGAAAATTATCCTGTATTTGTTACTGACCAAGTTCAAATGTAACACATTTAAGATTTGATTTAGTTGCTGTTTCTTGTATTTTCTTTCCAACTCTTCAATCAAACATTTCACATTTATTTTTTTTTAGTTTTATTAGTGAATGTTTTTACTTCAACTGAACCAGCACAAGCTACTTTACCAATATGTGCATGAACACTAATTGCATAACCACATTCAGGCCCATCACCTAAATATTCTTATGAAATTATTATAACAAATATTATTCATTTTACCTGGTATGATGTTGACAACATCTGGTGGAAAGCCAGTCTAGATCATCATGACAACAACAAAGTATAATCGACATGATAATATCTTATCTCTTTGATAAGAGTAGCACAATAAAGTGCATTAAGCGGTGTTTGTTCAGTTGGTTTCAATACAATCACATTACCTATTTAAAACTTTGGTAAAAATTCACACGAAAAAATAACATCTTCACTTACCACATGCTAATGCTGGCCCTAGTTTCCAAGCTAACATCAGAATCTAAATTTAATGAAAGAAGTTATATCCGTCTTATAAAAGAACAAAACACATATAGGTGAATTCCTGCAAAAGAAGTCGAGTTTATTTCTATAGAATCGAAAATGAAATTTATCACGGAATGATTTGTCCACAAACACCAATTGGTTCATGTCAAGTATATATAAACTGATCATTCGATCCAGGAATGGTTTCACCAATAATTTTACCAACTCATTCAGCATCTATATTTTCATTAAATATTATCTTTACAATACAAGAATCAGATATATATATATATATACAATAATCAATACAATCAACTGAGAAAAATATTTCACCTTTAGTCTGTTCTACTAGTTTACCATTGTTAAGTGTTTCCACTTTCTACATATTGACTTATGTTGAGAGAAAGAAACAGGATCTAATTTATGCCATGGTGATTCAATATCAAAAGCTGTTTGAACACCTTCAACTATTTTATATCAACATTAGCTTAAAAATCACAATAGATGATGAACCAATGAGGAACATAGAGATTCATACTCTAGTGCCTTCTTCTACTTGACAAATTTCTTTTCCTGTATTTGGATTGATGACAGAAAATGTTTTTTCATTTGTTGCTTTATGCCATGCATTGTTGATAAAGATTTGAGTATATTTAGCTTCAACATTCGAAGCTATTCAATCAGTCGATGACATCTGAAAAATAAGAGAAAAGACCTGAACAAAAAAAAGGTGTTTTGGTTGACAACAAGTATGATAATGATAGTGTCATCGTCATTTATCTAAGCAAACACACACTTATATATCCCGCTCGCTCTCTTTTATACGTGCACAAACATATACCCACTTTTAGCTTTTTCTCTTATTTTCTTAGGGCGAACGAGAACAGACGCTAGATTAAAGAAAAAGTAGATTTTCTTCTTGCCAATATAAAAATGTAGGTTGCATCAACGACAGAACACAAACAAAATATTACGTACAAAACCACGTTTTTGTCAACAAAGAAAACGAGCAGTACATAAAGAGTCATGATTTTGAATAGAGAAAAAAAAATCTTAGAGAAACGCTGGAACTTCTCTGGTACCAAGTGGTCATTTCGTCACATGATGATTTTTCTAATCGATCAGGACAAGATCCCATAGAGTTGATTAAC